TGCTGGTAGGGAATGTAGGCAAGAGGCCAAGGCAGCATTTGGCAGCAAGCAGGCAGCTCCTGCCTGGAAAGAGAGAGCCGTTTGAATTCACAGTGAAGTCCAAGAATGGTCACTGCCCTCTACTTCCTGTCTGTGAGCCAGGGCCGTTGGATGCAATGACCTGGTCGGCAGCTGGGTGAGGGGCACAGGTAGCCTGGAGTCCCGCCAGCCTGGAGCCCTGTCTGCCAGCTGCTGGTGGGCCTGGCCCGGGGAATCTGGCCGCAGGCTCTGAGAACGATGCTATTTTCGGTCCCTGACTAGCTCTTCAGCCCTCCTTCCTGTCTTGAGCTTTCTGAGTCACTTCTCCCCACTCTCAGCTCTGCTTCTTTCTGAATGAAGTGGATTATCATAACACCATATGTTAGAAAAGCGATTCGCAATTTATAAAGCCCTTTTATGCACCAGCTCTATTTGGATTTTTGATCAACCTGAGAGGTCTGCAAGCAGGTAATTTAATCCATGTTTCACAGATAAGGGACAATGGAAGTTCAAAGAAACTCAAGCAGCTTGACTGATAAAGGCACACACTACATAGGCACACACACATAGGTGCACACACACACACAGACATACTGCAAGTCAGTGTGGGGTCCAGTCTGAGAACCAGGCTTCTTGCCTTGAGTCTGATGCTCATCCTCACCACCCTACACGTCCAGGTGTCTGTGGTGTGTGGAACTGGTGAGTGGGACTCTGCAGGACCACATATGGTGGCCATTTCCTTTCTTCTTCATGGTGGATGGTTGCTTCTAGGGATTTAGCCTCATGGCATTTAAAATGCTGGCAGGGGGAGCGATAAGCAGGACCCTAGACAAAGTGGAGAAAGTAGCCTGAATTTGCTTCCCCATTTGGGGCCCTTTCTAACCCTTCCCTCAGAGTTTGACCCCCTCCTTTCATCTTACTTCCTGGTCTCTAAGAAAATCTCTTCTCTATTCCCTCGTTCACCTACTCTAGGATATAGATGGCCGATAACAGTTTAGATGGTTAACCCACCATACCTTAGCCCGCCTTACAATTCTGTGGTCTATGCCGCAGCTTACGAGACAGGTACAGCCAAATGTATTGTCTCCAGGAGGAACATACACATTTTTAAGAACTGGCGTAGCCTGGGCAAATAATTTCGGTGCTGAGCATGTAGCTAGAGCCCTTACCCTTCCAGAGAGCCAGGCACTGCCCACAGCTGCTAACCAGTGGAGAGGTCTGTGAGAGTCCCAGGGGAGGGCTGGGCATTGGCATCACCAGTCAGCATGGAAGTGCTGTGACATTTTCACACACACACACACACACACACACACACACACCTTACCAGTGCATACCAGTTACATATTAACATCAATTATTTCATTTAATCTTTTCTAGAACATTTGAAGGAAGAGATTACATTTTCTTTTCAACTAGTAAGAAAATGGAGTCTCTATAATCAACGCTTCTCGAGCTCTTACAGCCAGTGAGCATTTTCCAGCAGCCGTGGAAGTTCAGATCATGGGGTAGTCAAGATGCAGGGGGTCTTTGAAGGTGGAAGCCCTGGGTGGGCAGAGGACACCAGAGGTCCAGGAGCAGGATGTGGAAAGGGGGAAAGGAACAGAAAGGAAAGGCGTGCATGCATGTGTGGGAGCACACGCTGTGGGCAAGACCGGTCCTGAGTGAAACAAAGAAACCATTTCCATTGTTTGCTTTGCCTCTTGCCCCATGACTGAATGTTGTCACCCAGAGAACGTGATCACACTGGGAGCACTAGATGTAGCACGTTAGAAATAGCTGTGTCTTGTTCATCAGGGATTCATAACTCCTGATGTCGCCCCCATACTCTTGCCTCCCACAATTGCCAGGCTGAGCTCTGTGGAGTCTGATGTGAGCAAAAGTTGGGTGATGTCTCCCTGGAGAGCACCTGGGGCCCAGGTGGTCAAAGACTAGGAAACTCAGTGTGCTCTCCTGTGGATGGAGCATTGGTCAGCACTTGCCCAGCACTAGGTACCTCTCCCTGTTTGGGGCTGGGCAGTATCCAGATACCTGTCCTTCCTGGAGAAGCACAGGCCCCTCGAGGCCAATAGGCAAAGGCTTGGCTGCTTGCTCCCGGGGTAGGGGATTTAGCCTCATGGCAACCTGGGCTCCAAGGGGCCAGCCCATGGCTTGGCACTCGTGAGGTCTCCTGGATTGAGGGTGTGGGAAAGTCAGAGCCTCTCTACTTGGCTCCTTTACAGCCCTCAACAGGGGCTAGAAACCAGGTTGTCATAGGCCCAGCTGCCCTGTCCGTGGGCATGTCACATGTCAGGTCCCCTCTGTTGCCACTCTCTGGCAGCACACGCCTTTTCCCAACCTACAGTCTCCCTCTCAACAAAGGATATTAATAGGTGAGTCTTGTCCCAGGTCCAAAGTGAGCCCCTCCCTAATTTTTTTTTCTAGGCACATGGCCTTGTCTATAGGATGATCTCTCTCTCTCCCCGGGCCCCATGGCAATGCATTCACCAAATACCTCTCAACAGAGGTTGACATTCTTAGAAGAAATCAAAAACTAAATGCAATTCTAAATCTTAGGAGAGTCATCTTTTCGTCTGTGTTTTTCCTTGCTTGTCCCTCCATCTCTGCCAATTTAGAGTCAGCATGTCACGTGATTCCTTTTGAAATTCGGCTCTGGCTGCTGCTGCTTTTCCTACCCACTGCCCATCTGCCTTCCCTAAAGGCAACCCAAGTATGGGGTGGGTGGGGAGGACTGCCATAGAGAGAGCCCAAGTAAGAACCGAAATATTTGACTGGACTTGGTCCTGACAGAGGCAATTTTATGACCCTAAATGTCCTGGAAACCCTGTTGTCTCTGGCAGTAGAAGACTCTGGGCTTTGGCAGTCTCGGACGGCCCCGGCATCCTTCTGCAAGTGGCTGTGACATGAGTCACAGGGTCAGTCTCCAGTGAGGCTGACGATGAGGTGGGCACAGAAGAGAAACGCTACCTCGTCCTCCATCTCGGGGTGAGAGGCCAGCAGGCTGGGATGGCCACTAGGCCCCCTAGGGTTTGAGGTGGGGACCGAGGGGTCAGCATCAGCAGGGAGGGGGGTGAGCCCAGAGAGGACAGGTCAGGACAGGCCAGGACAGGCTGGGCCTCCTCAGAAATGGCCCTGGCATTGACTGCTGGGCTTGTAATATCAAAATCAGATATGGCCTTAGGATGAAAAGAATAAGCTGGGTTCTTTCTCACAGTCTTTTTCATTTAGGTAAAGGAGCAAGAGGTCCAGACTCATTTATTCTCTCTCTTTGTGAAAATCTTCTCTTTTATTCAATGAGGGAGCCTCAGGCACACTCTTGTGGTGGTTTATTAATGTCACAAACAAAGCATACTTTATTTGAATTGGCCACTGAAAGTGTTCTATACAAGGCAAACACTTCATCATGATATATACAAATTAAGAATAAATTAGTTCCACCCTACAGAAATTTCCAGCTGCCATGTACAAATAGTTATGTAATTTATCAGTTAAATAAGTTAAAATAAATAGTCTTGGGATACTCTGATTGGTAGATCCAGCATGAATCACCTGTTTGCTCCCTAACTTTGTTCCAGGCTCCATTATATATACCAGGTAAAGGACTATGAGACTGTCTCTTGAAACTAGAATCTTATTGAAAGAGCACTTGAAATCCAAATCTCCAAATTGTACATGCAAGGACTGAGTGCAGAATCTAAAACAATGGTTGAAGAGCAGAAATCAGCAAAGTGAAAGCCCAGAAACCAAGGCCTCTTATACCCCTATGTTTCTTATAGTTTACCTAGAGACATGGAAACAGCTCAGCAAACAGCAACATGTGGCCACAGAGCAGTAGCATATAAATAGCATGAGTCTGAGACTCACCAATAATGTGGCCAAATTCTTCTTCATACCAAGACGTGGTAATTCCCCACTAGTCTTACATTAAATTTCACCACAGAGCGTCAGATTTTGTTAAGTGACTTGGATTAATTTAAGCTTCTGAATTAGAAAACAAGCCTTCTGAAGGCAGAGTTGAGGCCACAGATGACAACACACAAGGCTTATGCTGCCGAGCCCCTCCACCTGTGGCGGACATGACTAACTGCTCACTATAATCCTTTATCTCAGATTCCATTGCCACACAGAACTCCAGGCAGCCTCTTCCAATCAGCTGGGGTTAGTATTTGAGATCCAAATGATTTATTAACCTTAGTCCTTCTCTATATTCTGAACCGTTCTGTGTGAAGGAGTAGATACCACACAGGCATTGAAGCCTGTTACCCACATGATTAAGTGCCTTTGGTCTAATCATTTGACTACTTTAAACTGGTGTCTAGTAAGGCGAGGACTTATCTCAGAGTTGTTAGAGAGACTGGGACAATGTGTGTAAAATGCGCAGTATCATGCCTGGCACACAGGACACATTTAATGAACGATAGCTGTCATGACCATATTTTCGTTTTAAGGCTGCTGATATTGACAGTGGAACTGATGATGACATTTCTATTAAAGGAAACCATAATATTACATATTAGGTTGAACTATATGAAATCGATAACCAATTGTTTTTGACCTGCAAACATGGCAATTTCTTCAGTTCAACCGAATGCATGATAACATATTTCATTAAGTACATCAAATCGCTTACTTGTTCCAACTTTGTCAAATTCTTCCCTTCAAAGATTGCCCCCAGAGACATACTCCTACCACTCAAAACCTTCCTCAAATCAGCTGCTAGAGCAAGCAAAGCAGGGAGTCTGGTGGAGAAGCTGAGGACCTGGTGTCTAGTTCCACTGTCTGGTATCCAGTCACACAACTGCTCCAGGCCATGGCTTCCTCATCTGTAGACTGGGAACCATTATGCTTTCTGTAATAGGGATTTTGTGAAGATAAAGGATAACAAAGGGGAAAACACTTTCAAAAGTTAAAATCATGGTACCAGAGCAAGGTATCATTAATTCCACTAGACTATACCATTCCGGAAAACATTAGCATTCAACATTTACTTTTTAAGCATGTTTTCTATAGAAAAGCTGCACACAAAAGAATAGAGAATTCATGCAATCATGCCAAATGATCATCAAAGCCCATCCTGACGATATTTGAACTACTGAGTAAACATGTAGTGCTTTGTCATTAAGAATCGCACCTTGTCAAGATGAAATAAATGTGGTAACAGGCAGAGTAAGAGCCATTGTGTTTATGAGTGTCTCAACACGCTCTTCTTTTCATATACGTTAGCATGACTCACCGCTTCTTTTCTTGGAGGTCTTTGAAATGGGTTGGGAAAATTCGATTTCAGTATGGTTTTGCTTAAAGATAGGCATATAAACTTAGGGCCTCCCAAAGTCACTTTCAGACTATTGGCTTTAGTGTATCTAAGAAGTAACAATTTTCTTTTGCTTTCAAGGGAAGTTCTTTTCCTGCGTCTTAAGCTGGGGCGATTGGTTAGAAAGGGAGGATGATGTGTTTGGACCAGCTACAAGCAGAGGTAAGTGTGGCTCCATTCCAATCCAGTTTTCTCCCCTCACGCAGTGAACTTTGGCCAACACAGGGCACCTGGAGAGGGTCACCTTTAGTCGGCCTCAAAGGCACTGTTGGTAGCTCCCACGTATTCAGACTTCTTCTTGTGCCTTGTCCACATTTTCCGGAGGATGCTGGGGACACCACAGGAAGCACTTCCTGTCAGTGGTAGGGAGGCTTCTGCTCCCTGGGGAAGCGTTGGATACTCTTCAGTCATCTTCTTGAGATGTCTGGATCTAGGGAAAAGCCAGAGGTGTGGAGGAAGGGCAGTCACTTCACTGAGCTAGTGCCCTCGTGCTCCTTCTGCTCACATGGCCTGTGACCAGGAGGCAGGGTCACTGTTGGAACCCATGCAGGAATGACTCCCCCAGGGGGTGAGTGAAGGAGGTGGCACTGGGCACACTGGTTCATGAACCTCAAGTTCTATTCTTGTCTTAAGTTCCACTTACCCACCCCTCCCGCCTCTACACAAACAATCTTGCTGGAAAGGGCAGATGTCCCCAAGCACTGGCTATCGAAAAGGCATGAGCCCTGGGGTTGACTCCTGCTCCCCACTTACTGTGTGACCTTAGGCAAGTGACTTAGCCTCAACCAGCCTCAGCTTCCTCATATGCAAAATGGGAATAATTTCATCTAACTCGTGGGGCTTTTGTGAGGAGGAAAATGAGATAATAAAGCATCTGGCACATTGTAGGCCTCAATCAACATTCATTTTTCTCCTCACTTTCTCCCCTTAGGTGAAAGAAAATTTTAACAGCCAAGGTCCAGGAACCAATTGAAATGAGAATGTCTGAGCTTAGAGAGAAAGCAGCCATTTAAAATCCTTTGCAAAGCAGCTATGTGGATGGGAAAGGCTAGCCCCTGCTGATGCATAGTCAGTTTTCCTGCAATGTGCAACAGCTATTGCCGCTCAGAATAATGCGCTATTAGAACTTAGTACAATCCAAAACGATGTTCTTACTTTTCTCCAATTAGGTCCCAATACATTGAGTGACTTGGTTTTTATAACTTTCTAAATGGCTTTTTTTTAATCTAGAAGGGCTTCGCATTGGTCCGTTCCTCCTTGGACTCCCAGAGCTTTCAAGGTGTGGACCACTTGGGTTGGTATTTTAGCCCATGGCCCCTCATATGTGCACATTCGATATGTTTCCAAGTCTGTGTCTTTCTAGCTTCCCAGCTGGATTGTACGTTTCTTGAAAAATGATGGCAAATGGTTTCTTCATACATTAGCTCATTTAATTCTCACAGTACCCCTCAACAGGGATACTACTATTCCCATTAAAATAATAATAATAATAATAATAATAATAATAATAATAATAATAAGTGAGGATGCAGAGGTCTGAATAACTTGCCTGAAGTCACTGCAAGGCAGTGGCAGTGCCGGGCAAGCAAGCAGAACCACACTTGTCCGCCACCCGCAATGTGGAAGATGGTGGCGAGGCCATAATGGACATGGCGAACTGAGACCCCCGCCTGCCCGGAGGGCTGCTCGGGGATTACCTGCTCCTGCCACCCCAGCTGCCGGCTCTGAATCAGAGGTAACAGCAACACGGGGGTGATGGATTGGGTTTGAAAACTTCGTATCTTATGTACTTCTTTACCTCTGGGCAAGGACCCTGAACCTAATTCAGGAGGCATGTCTGACCCCAGCTGGGCTACGGGAAGCTCTGAATATGGCCTGTGATTACATTTATCTAATTAACCAAAAATCCTCCAAATGACACTTCCCCAAGTCTAAAGAGTGGCGTTAATGAAGTGGAAACCATCAAAAACACTGCAGCTTAATCGTAGGGAAGCAGTTGAAGCACTGCAGAGACCCAGGATTATTGCCCTCTTTAAGAGGCAATTTGCAGCTGGCATGGATGTTGCGTTAGCATCCGGAGAGTCTGTCACCCAGGCCACCTGTTACTCTTCCGCAGCAGGACCCTGGCAGGTGGGGAGCCCTGCAGGCAGCCGGGCTGGGAGGCACAGCACTTACCCCCTCGTCAGAACAGCTCTGTTCTCTGAGCCTGTGGCCGCAGCCTCCAGGACAGCGGCGGGGGCTTTCACCGAGATCCGAGCCACCGGAGGGATCTGGGTTGAATGGACGGGGAAGACGGTGTGAGAATGTAGCCATGGACCCCACTCTGGCCCTGACTGGGGCCATGTGAAAGGCCGATGGCGAAATCGAACCACCACCAAGCGAGGGCGAGAGCAGTCCTCACACTCTGGCCGGCATCGGGCCCCCCAGAGGGCTTGTTAACACTGCTGAGCCCGCCCTGGTGCTGTCAGTAGTTCTGATGTGGGCCTGAGAATGTGCATTTCTAACACGTCCCTAGGCACAGCTAGTCCTGGGACTCCACTTCCAGAACCATCGACCTAAAGAAACTTGAGAGAGAGCAACTCGATCTTCCCTGAGAACCGTCCCCAAAGCCCCCTTGCCCGTGTCTCCTTTGTTGTCAAATCCTGCAGATTCTTGCTTTGGAATACTAGGTTACATGCCCTCCATTTCCTCTGCTGCTGCCTCCGGGGCCGGTCACCCGGGGCCTCCTTGATTCCCAACAGACCCACCACACCCCCCAGGCCCCTCCTGGATGCTCAGGATCTCCCATCTGCAGATTGAGGCCAACTCTGCAGCCTGCTCTTCCCGTTCGTCAGGACAGGTAAGCTTTCACCCTACCTGTGCAGCTCCGCCCTCCGTTCTCCCCCACGGGCGCCAGCAGAAGCCTTCCTGGCAGGGCTGGCCCTGCCTTCTCTAATGCTCATGCCCGTCTTGTCTTCACTCGGCTTGTCCTTCGCTCTCTGGATCGACCCTCATCTCTGCCTGTCCTTCAAGGCCACTTCCTCCAGGAAGCCTTCCCTCAGTTTAGTGGCCCAAGTTGATTTCTCTCTGTCCTCACATCCCCACTGGACTGCGTACCTAAGTGACAAGCTTTAGCATCCCATCGATTCTCTTTTTATGGCTCCTTACTCGTTCCACGTGCTTGTCCAGTTTCCTAGTCCCCAGAAAGGTAGCATGGTGTGTGGGGGGCCTGGGGCTTAAGCCCTTTGGTGGCCCTCCTCCACTCGGGTGAAGGAGGCGGTGAGTGCTCAAGAAACATGCACTGGAGTGAAAGGTAACTGAGGGCCTGGCCTGGGCTCAGTCAGTGGACAGACGCTGTGCTTCGTGCCTCCACCCCAAGGCCCACGAAGGCTTACGGTCACCAAGTTCCTGGAATTGCTAGGAAATTCCAGGTCAAGGACACCGTGATTCACCTCCCGCTTCTCTGCTGAGCTGACCAGAGGTTGTGGGCAGAGTTACTGTGCCACCTTGTGGCCTCTTGGGAGTTCTCCCTCCCCATCATGCCAGCAGCTGGGAGAACATACACCCCCTCACCCCTCCTTCTTCCTCACTGTCCTTAGTCTAATGTCCCCCAGGGCAATTCAGTGTTGAATCAGATTTAGCTCTCCAGCCTCCGATGAGCTGCGGGACCCCAGCTCCACTGTCTCAGGCCCAGAGGAAAGTGCCAGTCATTTTAATGCCTCTTTGTCCTCTGTATTATGATTATCCCATCCCAACTTGCTATGGCCTCCCCGCTGCAGCCATCTCTCTGCCGGGGTCACTGTCTGAACCCAGTGCCCGGCCTGTGGGCAGGTGACCCAAGGCTGTGACTCCCCTCTTCCCTGTGGCCTCAGTCTTCCTGTTTGAGCTGCACAGCCTGACACCTTCCCTCTGCGCCCAGCCATCCTCGTGTGACTCCCCTCTTCCCTGTGGCCTCAGTCTTCCTTGGGCTCAGCTGAGGGCAGCTGTTTGAGCTGCACAGCCTGACACCTTCCCTCTGTGCCCAGCCATCCTCAGTTTCCGCTGGGTACTAGGTTGGGACGAGGGCTTCTGACAAAACACTTTGTCCCAATCCCCGCCCTTCGTGTGGTTTTCCTAGGACGAGGGATGGCCCAGATGAGATACTTGGGTTAGATTTCCTGCTCAGACCAGGGGCAAATCGCTTACATCTCTGTCGAGTTTGTTTCATCGGGACGAGGGGCTGGCACGAGCCTCCTGGGGCTCTCCCAGGGCTCACACGGCACTATCTGCGAGTCTCGAGGGCTGACGCTGGCAGAGTCCAGGTGCCTGAGCCAACTTTGCCTCCAGCCGCGCCCCCTCCCCCAGGGTGCTAACCAGGGGGTGCACACATTCACACCCGGAAGGAGATGCAGGAGATGTATTTTTTTCAGGGTGATGCTGCGCTAGACCCCGACATGCATCACCTGATCCCCCTTCAGGGAGGAACAAGCTGCTGGACTGTGGGGAGGCAGGCGGCAGATGGTTCTCAGCTCCCTCAGGTAGGTCTGGGCAGAGGGCCCCCTGCCCAGGGGCAGCCTGCTCGCCACGATGGAGTGAGGAGGAAACGTAAAGGCTTGGCTGTTGGGGCCCAACTCAGGACAACCAGATGGGCAACTGTTGGCCCAGGGGTCCCCCCGAGAAGGGTGGGGCCTGCATGGCAGCGCCCACACCCGCCGCCCTTCTGTCACAGGTGTTGATCCCTAATGCATATCTCATACCCGACACCCCAGATCTCAGAGTCGGCTTTCGGAGAACCTGAGCTGGAGCAGATGCCCCCTGAGGTGCCCACTCTGAGATGGCTGGCGTTTTGTGTTTTCATGGTGCTTAATATCCTGACATCTCTTCCCCTCCCCCAAAGTTGCCCCTGGAGTGAGGCGTTTCCACCGGATGCCCGCAAGCTGATGGACTGTGGAAGCAAAGAGCCTGGGGCCTGGAACAAAGGACATAGTCTCCTGTCATGGCACAGACAGGGCAAAAAGTTTAAAGCACAACAGATACGACTTACCAGGCTTACTTTACTTACCAAAGACTTTCCATAGGCTCGATTCCCACACAGATTTGATGATTTGGATTCAGCAATTCCCACTGCAAGGGCAAACGGAGGAGACATCGCTCAGCGGGACTCCGCGTTCTGCCTTACCCCGGTTCTGTATCAATTATCTCATGAGCTAATCAATCACGAGCAAAGAATTCCTAATGACTTTGTTCCAAGCAGAAAAATCAGGCAGTGGGGTCAGGCAATGGGGCAACCGCCAAGTGGTCACCTGCACCCCTGGCTCTTCCAGGGGTCCAGAACCGAGGTCTGGTAAGACCACGTGCGTGGAAGCGTGTAGTGCTGTGTCTGCGCACAGTAGGTACCCAGAGAATGTGCCCTCAGCTCCTCCTTCCTTCCTAAGGCTCCAGATCACAAGAGGTTATCGGGAGTTAAGTGTTTATGGCTCGGATCAATGATTTACCCTGCTGCTCCTGGACACCCCTCTTTGAAAATGAGCGGAGAAGTCCTGCCTGTGGTGGGAAACACAGCATCACAATGCGAAAGGAACGGAGCCTCTCAGAGTCCTGAGGCACTGGCTGCCTGAGAGGTATGTGAGAACCTTCTTCCTATGCCTTTATTCCTGAGGCCCGACGTACTTCTGATTAATTTGTACTCCAAAGCCTGCAGCTTCTGAGAATCCAGGTGTTGAGCTGAGGGAGCTGGCAACAGGCAGGGAAAAGTTGGCTTTTCATAATGTCCTCTCCTGGGACAGATGTTCCAGGATGAGCCCCACCTATCACACTACGGTATGTAGAAATAAAACACCCCCACCACCAGGAGAACATCTCAATGCCAATAAAATGAAGTTCCAAGACTACCCAGATCAAACCATAATGTATGGTGTTCTGGCATAAGGAATGACAGCAGCTCATACCTTTGAGTATTACTGGGTCAGGCCCTGTGCTGAATGTAAAACACATACACATTGTCTGATTTAATCTTCACCACAACCCTAACAGGTAGGTATCATAACAGTCCCCACTTTCTAGATGAGGAAATGGAAGCTTTAGAGATCCAAAACAATTACGATGAAGCCAGGTGAAGATGATCAGGGAATGGCAGACTGCCCTCTTTGGTCTTGCAAACTTGACCCCGGGAACCCCCTGACCCAGTCTGGGAGGAGAGACACAGGGAGGGCGGTCTGCAGAGAGAACAGTATCAGTGAAGGTCCAGGGAAACAGGATATAAGGGACAAGTCCCAGAATTACACAGCAGCTCAGGGTTGCTATGCACGTCCCAAGCCCAGGAGGTGTGTCCTTTTCCAGGCACCTGAAGGCCACCTGCTCAAGGCCTTGTGCTGAGAGAGTTTCTCAGCTTGTCCCTGCAAATTCCAAGATTCTTCAGAGACTCTTTCTCCCACGGGAGAAGGCTATAGCATCCAAGAGCCTTCTCCTGTAGCTCAGAAAAGAAACCAGTCCCCGGATCTGAGATCCCTGGAGACACACATCACGTCCTTCCGACCGGAAGATGGAAGTCTTTGATGCCTAAAGCTGGTGCCAAGCCCTTCCTGTGAAGAGCACTCAGAAACCCTTCCTCTCTCCCGCCCCCTCTGGAATCAGAGTCAGGGAGCTGATGGTTGAATCAATGCCCAGCTCAATCGTTTTGTTTTTTTTTTTCCCCTAAACCTGACTAGCACATCTCCTGCACGAGCTGACTGTCACATGTTGGGCAGATTCTCTCCATTTCATAAATTACTGTTCTCCTCTTTGAGAATAAAAGACTGACTTGGGCAGTCCAAGCTTCCACAAGCTTCTAGAAAGGGAGGCGAGTGGCCCCTAAAACGAGACAGATGGGGAGACACTATTCTCTGGGGGTGATGGGGAGAGACAGTGGCTAGGAAATCGGGAGATCCGAGATTTAATCTCAGCTCTGCTGCTAATGAGTAGTGCGACCTTGGGTAGGTCACACGGTTTCCATGGTTTCAGTTTCCTCTCCTGCAAATTGGCAGGCGGTGGGTGAAGCAGATCAGCGGTTCTCTACCTTCAATAGGCATTAGAATCAACTTGGGGGCTTGTTAAAATACAGATTGCTGGGCCGCACCCCAGAATTTCTAATTTAAGGTCTCATGTGGGACCCAAAATTTGCCTTTCCAGCAAGTTCCCAGGTGATTCTATTGCTCTGAGGATCCCAAGCTGAGACTATGCATTAGATTATCTCTAAATCTTTGCCGATTGATTTGTTGTCCTCAGACCAACATCATCAGCAGCATCTGGAAGGTTATTAGAAACAAAATCTGGGGTCCTAGTCAGTTTTACTGAATTAGTATCTGCATAAGAACAAGATTCTCAGGTGATTCTTTTGCACTTTACAATTTGAGAAACAGGGCTCTAAATTCACGTTATGATTTTGTAGCGAAGACAAACACTCTTTTTCTCTTTCTGCACACACATAGACCCACCCACCCACCTATATATAGACACAGAAAAATTTATCTCCTCTTAATTTGCAAGGCAGATTGTGGTTTTCCTAATGCTTTCACTCTCCATACATATGTGTATATGTAATCACTTAACTGGTGAATATGGCTTGATTTATGCATTCTTACATGTAGAATCATCAAAACAGGACCAGGGCATTAGTGATCAAAGGAACCTCAGAGATCCGGTCTAGCATCTGGGAAGGAGGAAAGATGCATGGAGGAAGGGACATACTCAGTGGAGTCTTATTTCAGTTCTGGTAACATAAAAAATTGTTGACAAAAGCTTTGAGAAAGACATCCTAGACTTTTTCTTGTGTATTTTTGGAGTTAAAATTTGAATAATTTTAGGCTGTGGGAATAACAGAAATAACCAGTAATTAAAGGCAAAATACCATCTCAGACTTTAGTGGGCTAGCTGAAGAAGCCCGTTGAAAAGTGTAAGGTGGAAGCCATTTTTAAAAATAGTGTGTAAGGTAAGATTATACTGTTTCCAGCTTTGGAAACAAATTTGTCCCCAAATCCTTTTTTATAGCTTGTTGAAATAGCCCAAGTCATTCAAATTTAAGATGGCAGTTTATGAAGAGCCTGTATAAGCACACATACACACTGCCTGTAAAATAAATAATGTAGGTTTTTTCTGCTTCATGAGTCATGCCCACACTGGTTTTCTCTGCCCCAGAGCTTAATGATTTTTATCTACTCCTGAATCCAGCAGGGCTTCCTATGGAGCAAGGATGGTAGATGAAAGCATCCTTGTTTATTACACCCAGAAGCAAGTGTATTATAGGTAGAAGGTGTTATGTGCAGCTGCTGTAGGTTAGGCCCAAGAGTAGGTGTGTTCGGAGAGGGTAGAGTGGGTATTGGGGAAAAGCTTAAACCCCATACCACAGGTGCTCCGCTCACCTGGCGTGACCAAGGTTGCCAGGGAGGACTGTGACGCAGTCAGACAAAACACAAGCCCACACTCAGACACTGCAGCTGCTGCTCTAAGTGTGTCATTGTCCTTCAGGGAGGTACAGGAAACACGAGCCAGCAGGTGCATACCCGGTCTGGAGGGGTTCTTAGCAGCGTGGGGTCCTTGTTGCCATGAGCTCTGGAGCCTGCTTGATCTGCGGCCCTCGCTGGCTCGGCGGTCACTGCGGTGTGGCAGCAGCTCCAGGGGCCGGGGTGAGTAGAGGTCCGACTCGATCACCACCTGCCGGGAGGAGGAGGGACAGTCAGCTTGTTCCCCTCCCTGGATCTAGGGATCCCCCATCCAGGCCAGGACTGCAGCTTTGCTGACAAGGACATTTTGGAGCCATCCATGCTCCAGGGAATGCTAGGGGCAGAGAGAAAACTTGGATATGGCCAGAAACAGTTAACTGTTTTATTGAACTTTAGATTGTCCAGTGGTGCCATGGTACAGGACAATGACGGTTCCTCACCAGCAATCCCGTCACAGAGTCAGCATCCTGGGCCATCAAACCCCAAATTGGGGCTAGTCACCTGCACCCTGGCCTGACATGGTTTGACAACAGGACAGGCTATTTGAAATGAGGATGGTCCTAGAAATTCAGGTCTTAGGGGCTTTGCAGCTAAGTGGACGCCCTTGTTCATACAGAGAAAAGCTTTTTGAGGGGGCTAGCAGAGGGAAGAGCTAGGGAGAGGACTGGGGCCCAACTCATTCCCAGATTTGTTTTAAAAAAGAAGCTGCTGGCAGGACTGTAGAATGCTCCCATTTCCTCCACCTTGCAGAATGCCTGTGTCAGGCAGAGCTGAGAGATGAATATCCTGTATGGCTCCGTAAGGGGCAGTCCTGGTGAACCAGCACTGAGCTAAATGCTAAGGTGTTTTCAGGAAGGATCACCTGCCGAGTGGGTAGTTTAGGAAGGCCGGGAAGGGGGAATACCCCTTTGTCAGGGTCCACCAAAATGGGCCTTAAAAATTATAATAAATACAAATTATAATTGAAATAAATACAAAACTTGAGACAAATAGCACTGTATTTTATCTTAATACTGGGAGTGATGAAGTGAATCTTAGCAGTTTTTGGCTCATATCCTGCATATTTTTATACTTATCCAGGACACTGGGTCATTCATTCTGAATTTCTTCATGGCTTGGAAGCTTCTCTGAGGTTTGCATTTACGCATTCGCTTGGTTGCTTGTTCCGTCCTTCCGTGGACAATCTGTGAGGGGGTGTTCTGTGCCAGGCCCTGGGCACGGGATGCCCCATGAGTGAGGTGGACCCATCTCAGCCCTACAGATCCCCCTCAGCTGTCTGCATATAACGATTGTATTACTTTGGAGGAGATGAAGCAAAATCTCTGGATTTTAAAATATCACAATAAGGTGAAACTTTAATTGAGTAGAGAAAAATTGAATCTTTAATTAATATTGTCGGAATAAATGTCAGGCTCCTGGGGCAAATGGATCCTTGTCTATACTTCTCATACCAACATAAATACCAAAAAAATCCCTCAAAACCTAAACACTAGAATATGGCTCAATATAACATTTTTTACTTATAATGGGGAATTATCTCTAGGTATATAAAACTTAGGGGAGAAGGCAGATAAGGGTAAAGGGGGTCAAATGTAAGGTGACAAGGAAATTTAACTTTCGGTGGTGAACACGCAATGCAATCAATATACATATGACATATTGAATTGTACACTTGAAACCTATATAATTTTAATAACCAATATCACTCCAATAAATTTAATAAAAATAATAAGTAATAAAATATAAAAATGAAGAGGAAAAAATAGAAAAGCAGGGCAAAAATTACGATCTGGCAATTGACAATAAAAAATACAAGTAGGCAATAAACATGAAAAGATGCTGAACAATATTTTAATTAAACACGTGTAAATTAAAACAATAACCTTCTTTTCCCCCTCCTATCAGATTGTCAGTGAAGGTAACTCATTTGGGTCCAGGCAGCCCTGAGTTTGACCCTGGCTTTGACACTTTGCGGTCGTGTAGAAAGGGGATGTCCTCGTCTGCCTTGCTACGTCAGGGCAGGGTAAATGCCCGTCGTTAGCAGAGATTTGAGAAGCACGGTTTGCTCTTTTCTTCATGCTGCATATTTATCTACAGCATCTGAGAGTGGTTCATGTCTCTCGAGAGGAAAATAAGGGGAACTGTCACTCTCTGCCTCAGTTTACCACCAGTGGGACCTGGCTTAGAAAATTCACATATCTCAACTTTGGTCTTATCTGGGATAGGAAATTAACTCTTCCCATATCCATTTCGGGGTCTGCATTTATCATTCTGTGCCTTTGAAGAAAGCTGATAATTCGAGAGCAATTAGGATGAGTCCCCCTTCACCTCTGGGCACTGCAGAAGGTGGCGTTTCTGCTCAGGTGCTCAGGTGTGGGGCTGCACCCTCCACTCCATGCCAGCTCACTGCGGGGCTGGGAGGCACTGCAGTGGGTGGTCCACACTCAACACTCTGCACACACCTCCACTCCGCTCCCCTCCTTTCCTCCCCTTTATTTATTTATTTTTTATTTATTTATTTTTAGGTGAGGCGACCCTTGGTTGACCTCACAGATTGCAAGGAACTTGTCAGTTTACAATCCCTTATTTTTTTCATTTTTTACACCTATAGCACCTGGTCTTCCTATGTGGTCTCCCATCCAAGTACTAACCAGGCCGACCCTGCTTAGCTTCCGACATCAGACGGGATCAGGCGTGTTCAAGGTGGCACGGCCATAGCCTTCCCTTCCCTTGAGCACTGCGCACTCCATGGTGTCACCTGGAGCCCTGAGATTTCCCGGGTTAATGGTAGTTTGAAGCCGCATTGCCCTGACACATGCACTGTTTGACCTCTGGGCCCTCCCCGCAAACCTGACTGTGCAGGTTGAGCAGGAAAGACCCAAGCTTCATTATGTGACACTTGTAGGGCTCTTTGCTGTTGACTCTGCCACGGGTATTTCTGGTTTTATTTTCATTCTCCCAGCATTCCTCTGGAGGAGGAGCGAGGACTGGCATGTTTTCAGACTCACTTTGTAGAAGGAGAAAGTACAGCAGGATGTGAAAACCTGAGGAATCCATGGGGGAAACCCTGCATTTCCCCCTCTGAAAGCGAAGCAAATGTTTCCTTTCTGGAACAAGAAATGCTGCCTCTGCAACCGGCTCTCCTCACTGCGGGCTGGGCGAAGGAAGTGGAGAGGGAGAGGGCGGAGAGGCGGTAACTAGCTGCTCAGCCCTTCCCTGAATGCAGGAGGTTTCCTGGGGGTGGAGATGAGGCTGGTCCCCTCCCAGGATATGACTTAGGGCCAAGTGCCTCTTCAGGGTTTCTTCTTCAATCCCCCAAAAGGATGCTAATAGCAGGAAAGGAAAGAGGAGAGGAGCCCAGCTCAGAAGATTTCCCTTTTGTAGCTGGCCTTATAACGGGTTTTCATTTCCTACACTAATGGAAGTTCTGAAAGGGCTCCAGGCCAGTGCATCCAGCCCACGCCTGGAAACAGACCGCTGAGTGATTGGTCATGGTGACCTAAAAGCCTCCTGACAGCCTGGTTTATCTTGTGGTCTGTAGGACACAGTCTAGGCTTGCTGCTGCTGCTGGTCTTAGAACAAGCTGTTCTGAGAGCAGGCTCTTTAGCATCCTGAGTACGCGGGTAAGATGGGGAACCGGCAGCAGGGGTGGGATCTATTAACGGGGAGTTAGAAAGACAGGTGAGACTTAGGTGATGGAGAATCATTATAATTCGGGGCTGATGGAATCCATAGCAATGTTCTAGTCCAACTCCCTAATTTAAAACATAAGGAAACTGAGGCCAAGAGCATCTGTGTGTCTTCAAAGTCACAGGGCTATATAATGGGCAGAGCCAGGACGAGAACTGTGTCACACCTACAGAAGTGCCTACATCCAGATAAGAATTTCAAGTGGAATTGATTGCTCAGTGCATTTTGAAAAATGAGCAGATCACCAGACAAATCCCTCCTCTGCAAGGTTGAAATCTGGGGAGAATGTGACATTTGCAATCTTATTTCTCGATCGTTCCTAATGGCGGCCCCTTCTGAAGGGGCTATCAATCACAGTGGCAGGGACTCTGCTGTATGGGCAGTCCTAACTGATGCACACATTTGTGTAAATTCATTCCTTTGAGCTAGTCTTATAATGTTGGTGGCGTCAGGTTGATCAGGATGTCAATAAAATTGCCTAAGAATCCAAGGAGAGAAAAACAAGTCTAGAGAAGAGAGAGTATGTGGCTGGGCCCCAGGTTCAGAAAAAAAAAAAAAAAAGGAACTTAAGAGAAATCCAGAGAGAGAAGAAACTAACCAACACTAAGGATGGTTTAGAGAGGAGAGAAATATCTGTAAAGGAAGGGACCTGACATCCACATGGTAGCCCAAGGGGTGAGGATAGCACAAATGAGAATTTCAGGACAAAGAAAGTCAGAAACATTGGTACATTGGAGCAGTTGCGAAGTATGAATCATTTTCTCGGGAACTGAAAGGGAAGCCAAGAGCCAGCTGGATGGGAAACAAGAAATCAGAGCCAATCCTTTCTTCTTCGGGAGTCTCTTTCCTCATCTTAGGTGGACAAAGTGACCTTTCCTGTCTTCTCTAATTTGAATGTTCTATATGGCGGAGGCTGAGTTGTACAAGCAAAGGATGAGTCAGGCTGTGAGGGGAAATCAGAAATTCAGAGGAGAGCTCAAAGGCCAGAGGGCATTATGAAGCCGTCTCACCTGGAGGAAGATTGCATATTTGAAGGCAAGACCCTGACTTTTTTTTTTCCTAATCAAAAGCCATTTATATTTGTACTTATATACTTGAGTCATTTTTTTCCCTCTGAGTAAAAATATTTTAGAGAGGGGAATTCATAAACCACACACATAGCAGCCTTTCTCAAATATTTCTACTCCCGGGAATCCTGAGAGTGTGGTTCTACCTATGGTGCCCGGCTGAAGTCCAGGGGATATTCCAGGAGGCTGTGCCCATGTTTTGGTGGCTTTGTGTATCTCATGCTCATGTGTCTTCGTCTCCACCATAGAGAGTTATCTCTTCTGTTTAGGTTCTGAGTACCGTGAGAACTTTCTTTCCTAGAACCCAATTTAACTTCTAGAAAGTAGAGCGATTTAGTTTCCATTTTAAAAGTTACCGTAACCCTGTTTGGTCCTTAGAAAAGCAGTTGATATTGGTAGGAAGGGCGATCCAGACAGGAACGTTGTTTAAGGTTAGAAACTCAAGGCAAGAACTTGCTTGAGAACAAAATATTCCGAATTCCCAAGGGATCGTCCTTGAGCCGTGAATGATTTATGGCTCCTTCAAATCCCGAGTAATGCCAAACTCAAACCCTTGACTGAAAGGTTTGTTGCGACACTTAAACTCTAAATTACCTACAAACAGCTGCTTCCCTTTCCTTTTTGACAACACCCACGGCTCCTTAAAAAGTCAGGAGCACTTTTCGTTTACATCGTGGGCTTACATTTTTAGAGACCACAAGAAAGATAAGAACCTTTTGCTTTACACCAAAGAAATTTTCTATCCGTTAAAAGCCCTTTTCTTTCTTAATATATAAAATATCTTCAAAAGTTATTTAAAAAAGACATACAACTGGCGGAAATAATGAGCAAAAGATGAGAGAGGAAGCCGTAGTGAAAAAAAAATAGTCTATGAAAAGATGAAGAATGGTATTAATAAAGAAATGCAAATTGAAACAATAAGATGTTTTCACCTATTAGACTGTCAAAGACTAACAGCATTGCTACCAAACAGTATTGGCTCAGGTGTTCTGGTAAAGGTACTTTTATAACACGGTTGCTAAGAATTTGGCAATCGTTCTATAATTCTTCCAATGTTCATACCCTTTGAGCATTTCCTTTTTTTTAAATGAGACATAATTGACATATAATGTTGTGTAAGTTTAAGGAGTACAACGTGTTGATTTGATAGTCTAGAACGTTCATGCCTATAAATTTATCCTCAAAAACATTTGTCGTAAGAGCATAAAAAATATGTTTGAGAATATTTCTGGTGGGATTGTTTTAGTAGAAAATGGAGAACCCCATTTACTGATAATTTGGTTAAATAATTAATCTAGGAAAACTTCAGATTTGGTTTGAGTAAAAAAATATAGGACATGCACACAATGGCATACTTTGCAGCCTCTATAAAGAATGGGGTAGATCTATATATATCAATTGGCACGTAAAGATGTTCAAGAGTTACTGTTCATTGAAAAAGCAAATTTCAAAATAGTATGTTATCATGCAATAAAGTGTAATAATTATGTTAGTATATGAGAAATTTTCACTTAAAAATGCCAAGGTTTATTGAATATTCATTATGCATCAGGCTCTTGACTAAGCACTTTACATGTATTCAATCGTTTGCTCCTCCCAGTGGTTCTTGAGACATGTGCTCTTATTGTTTTCATTTTAATGCTAAGGAAGTAGAGTACCAGAATGGTTGGGCAACTTGCCCAAGGTCACACAGCTAGAAATGGATAGAACTGGGATGTAAGCCCAGGCAGTTTGACTCTCAGGTTTCACACCTAACCTCTGTGCCCTACAGCTTCTCAGGACTTATTGATACTATATTTTATATCTTTGTAATGTTTCAATTTTTATGATGGGAACATGTTACTCTAGATATTAAAAAAGTAATAAAGTACATGAAAACAACAATGACTAAAACCCCATCTCATCCCAAGGATACTTAAAAATTATTTTTTAATGGAGAATAGGTTTTTGAAATTTGAGATACTTAGAGAATTTCTAAGTGTTTTATGAAAAACAGAAATAGAAATGCTAGTATAATCAAGAGGAAAAAAGTAGCAGTTAAAATAAACTTTTTATATTAAAATAGAAAGATGTATTGACAGCTTTTATATCACGAAATCTAAGCAAAATGCGAAATTCACAGCATCATTGGGCTCTAAAGACCTATAAACTAATTTTAAGGTAATGCATATACTTATTAAAGTAGCAAAAGATAATACAAAAAATGAAAGCCAGCATCGACGAGGTTGGAGGTGAATGGAAAAGCATCGATGGAAGCCTGTCAATTGCTCAGAATTCCTGGACATGTGTGACAAAACTGTAAGCATAAACCACTTTTAAAAAAATCACTATCATTTCTCCCAGTTAGCCCAGTGTCTCTTACACACAATAAGACTGCAAATATTTGATGTTGGGTGATTGGATGAAACTATTCTTATCCTCTTACTTGTTAATTTCTCTTTGAGGCCTATGCACCAAGAAATTAATCCAAAAGAATAGTATTCTGCACAAATTCATTGTCTTGATCTTTAGAATAGAGAAAAAATGGAACATTGCAAGTGCCAACAATAGAACACCTAGGTGAGGGATGCTGTACCCACATCACGGACTCTGTTTAAATAAGAAAAAATATATATATAAAATGAGATTTACTCTCTGAGTCTGGGGAAAACGGCAGAATGCGGGGATCTAATTCAGGGCTGTGTGCTCTCTGGTTGACATTTGTCAATTATTTTACTTAGGTGGAGGGCAGAGAATGCAGCGGCAACAACATGGGCTGTAGGAAAACCTTCTTGTCTATAAGGCGCAGGGGAGAGAAGAAGCCAGGCATTGCTTTTTAAATGAAAGGCAATCAAAGAGATGAAAACTGAAATTTCCTTACATTCTTGGTCAAGAGATGTTGTGAGCTTTTGACTCTTCTTCTGGCTGGACTGGACACTGCAAAGAGAGATAGAGGACTGGTTTTAGAGAACACCTGGGGGGCTGATGTAGCCACAGTCACAAAACTGAGAGTGTTCAGACCTGGGGTGGGGCAGAGGCACAGAGAAGGAATGGGAAGAGGAAGCGGGGTACAGCTGCAGTTTTAGATGTTATTTGGTTAAGTGCACCAAAGTTCATAGCAGCGTTATTTACAATGGCCAAAAGGTGGAAACGGATGTTCCCATCAACGAATGAACGGATAAACAAAATATGGTTTATACAGTCAATAGAATATTGTTGAGCCACAAGAAGGAATGGAATTCTGACACGTGCTGCCACATGGATGCACCTCGAAGACATTAAGCTAAGTGAAATAAGCCAGACGCAAAAGGACAAATACTGCACGAGCTCATTTACATGAGATGCCTAGAGCAGTCAAACTGGTAGAGACAGAAAGTAGAGTGGAGGTTACTCAGGGCTGGGAGGAGGAAGGGAGAGAGGGATTATGTGATGTCACAGAGTTTCTGTTTGAAATGATGGAAAAGTTCTGAAAACGGAGAGTGGTGATGGTTGCGCAACAATGTGAATGCCCTTAACGCCACGGCGCTATACACTTAAAAAAGTGGTGAAATGGTACCTTTTATATTATGTATATTTTGCCACAAACATAAAAAGGCTTAAAAAATCAACTAAGCATTTAAAAAATATTACTTGGTTGGAAAAGACGTACATCCGCATTATTGCCAGAGGGATTTACTCAGAACTAAAATCTCACCATGTCACTTCCCTGCCTAGTGCTCACATGACTTCTTGTCACCTATCAGATTAGTGACCAGATGAGCACTGTGTTGTTATTTTCTGCAGGGTGCCTGCAGCCACGTCACCAGTCATCCAGGGCGCTGGTCAACAGCCAGGGCTTCCCACTCCTTTCACTTGGGTGTGAATCTGAACTTGACCCTTTGCCAGTTATGTGACTTGGGCAAATTCCTGATTCCCTCTAAGCCTCACTTTCCTCATCTGTAATTCAGCACCTACCTCAGAGGGCTGTGGCAAGGATTAAATGAACTACTCTTTATAAAGCCCTTGGCCCAGCACACGGTAAAGAGTAAGTTCTGGGAAGTAGTGGTGGTTATCAGGATTTTCCTCTTTCTCTGCAAGGCGAGGGCTGGTGGAAGCAATAAGTGATCACGTTTAGGGCCTGCAGCATTGAAATGTCTCTTTCTGGGGTGTTCTCTGTCTCCTCTTGCTGTTCCCTGACTGCCCCTCCTCACTGTTGTTTATCCCCGAGTGAGTTATTTTGAATGCCGTGGTACTCTTCACCCCTCCTCTGGTGCGCCTCAGGAAATAGCTTCTAGTATTTAACTTCTTGGTAAAACCACAGCTTTTATCTTTTGTATTTACTGTGAATTATGTCTACGAAATCTTTCCCTTAAAGGTCTCTTTCTCTAGAAAGTAAAAATGCACACTTGTCCTCAGTTACAGACTTGATCTATGCCCTGTGCCTTTAAAATACTTAAGAAACACCACCACATTTGCTGTGGTCATATTTTTGATGGCTAAGCTAAAAAAACACAAACAAAAAAACCCATATATATAACTAATAGGTTGAACCCAATATGTGTGTGTATGTATGTGTGTATTAGAAAGAGGGATGCAATACAATAATAGCAAATGTAGTAATAGCTCTCATTGAGCTTTTCTAGGCAGATGGTTTATTTGCCTTATCTCATTCACTCCTCATAGCAACTCTGTGAGGCAGGCACTCTCCATGAACTCCACTTTATAGATGAGGATGCTGAGGGCTGGGGTCGCAGAGTTGAAGGTAGAACAAGGCCTACACTCTTGACCGCTAGACAACACTGCCCAGGTGGCTGAACTTGTGCTCGGAAAACATTCTGGTCATTGTACATTGAATAAACATGGCTAAACAGTAGCATCTGGGAAAGGTCATATCAGGAAGGACTGTAACCATTGTTAGACACAGTCAAACCAACCTGTATCTCTGCAGTTGGGGAATGTGGGCTGTAATGAAGAGTTACCAATCTCTTTCATAAGCAGTGAGTAAGGAGAGCTCGAACTGCCTGCTCTCACTGTGAGCCCCTTGCTCAATGGCTTTGGAGAAGACAGGACGGGGCACAGCGAGAACGAAGAGGTGACCTTCTTCCATTTCCGGTCTCATATAAACTGCAAATATTCCTTTTCTACAGAACAACTTCCTGAGCAGTGACATGTCCACGAGTACCAATGAACACTTGGTTTAACACCAGGAGGTGGCCATGAAAGAAAATGGTAAGAAAGGAACAGAGGATCACGTATTTATCTTTGACTGAAATACTCATTGCTTTAAATATGGAATGAAAATAGTCATTGCTTTGTAAGCGACGTACTTAACAGTGCTTACTACGTGCCAGGTACTGTCTTAGATGCTTTATATATTTTACCTATATCTCATGTTTTCCCCCATAGTAACCCTGGGAGGTGAGTTCTAGTTCTACCTTTTATGAAAGTAGGAACTCGGGTCCAGAGAGGTTAAGTAGCCTGCCCAAGGTCACGGAGTGCAAAAGTGGCGTCAGTCTCCCGACCACTATGCTAAGCGCATGGAGTCAAAGGCCCTGTTTTGATTGATTTTATTCAGGTGAATGTGACAGCAATTTATTAAAAATAATAAATTTTTCATTAAAAAGAGCCATTCGGCTTTGACTTTTTTCTCCTTTTAATTTTTTTAAAGAGTAACAATGACAGAAAACAGACATCTTAACATTTTCATATTTGCTTCCATTTTGTTTCTTTCTCATATAAATAAATACAAAATTAGAAGGCAAGTTTAGGTCCCCTTTCTACCCTCTCCTAATTCAACTTCCCTCCCTCCCCAGGCTACTAATTTTATCTGTGTCTTTCCAGCCTATATTTTGATACTTTTCTCTAGATATGTATCTATAAACAATATATAGTATTGTTTTATATTTCCAAATTAAATAATTGTTATCATACATATATAATTTTTCATCCTACTTTTTTTTTTTTTTCCACTGAACATTATGCTTTGAGATCTATGTCTATACAGGTAGATCTAGTTCATTCCTGTCAACTGCTGTGGAGTATTCTATGGTATGATGACATATTTTACTCCCTCCCCTCTTCAAGGACATTTAGGTTCTCTTCAATTTTGCCCTCTAGAATACAATGCCACCATGAGCATCTACATGTAAGACTATTTATCCAGAAGGGGGACTGCCAGGTCAGGGGGACTGCCAGGTCAGAGGGTCTGCCTTGACTTTCCAAGTATGTTTCAGAGTTTCCAGAGAGAGTTCCAATGCCTGCACGTGGGCAGACTCTTAATTCTTTTTTCTCTCTCTATCTGGCAATAGATGTCTAAAGCTTAATTTATGTTCCGCTGGCTGTCTCTTTGTGGTCAGGCTGAGTCTCTCCCTGCCCCGCTGAGCACTGGCCCTGTCAGTGGCTGACACTGGAAGAAGAAAGGAATTGTTTGAACAGGGGGTCAAACACCAGCCTCCTTCATTCAAGTCTGACAATGAGAGCAGGGCTAAGCTGGAGTCCCTGGGCTCTCCCAGCAGGACAGGGGCTACAGGGAGAGAGCAGAGGCGGCAGGAGAGAGGGCGAGCTTTGGGGAAGGGGCAAGGGAACGTCCGGTCACCAGACACCTACAGTCATCTGAGCTCTCACCCGAAGCCCTTCCCACGACTTGACACCATTTGCCTTGGAGCACAAGGACTTTTTGGTGGCACTAGTTCCAGGTTAAGTTTGGGAGGGTGGCCCAGGGCTCTGAGTGGAGGCCATCTGGGTCAGGGCATTATTTGAACACTTCACTAGATTTCGGGCCACCACAGGAAGTATTTCTCCTCACGTTTCACAGCACAGTTAGAAAGCAGACTTTTGAGGCAGCTGGTTCTCATTTCAAAGCCCACTTGCTCACTGGAGAAGATGAAAGACTCTATCTAGCTGTCCTGGGAATTTCGTTTTCATCTCTGTTTCCTCCAACAATGGCTCGCTGTCACTTTCATTCGGCATATTGTGTAGCCGTACTGAATTAAGCGAAATGGAATATTTAACTGCCTTCATTTCCCCCTCGATGGATTGTTTCAACGACTGATGTTTATCCGCGTGGCTCCTTTTCAGGAACAACAACAACGACAACAACAATAACAACAACAAATACCACCAAACACAGAGAAGCTGTCAGAGCTCAGAGAGCTGAGGGAAAACCATAGTAAAACAGCACGTGACTGTCCTCATCCTCCTTAAGGAAACGGTCAAGGGCGATTTTACTCACCCTTGGAAGGAATCACAGTGGTGAAAACTTCTATATTTTCGTCACTGCAGCTGTAAATCTGATGCATCTTTTCAGCCTTCTCTCCCCTAACGTGTCTGGAAACCGGAGGCCTCTCTCTGAACCCCTCGTCGTGAGGTTTCCTAAGCCAGAATGGCTCGGAGAATCGTTGTGCAGGTCCACAAAAGGCAGGCTGGTGCTGTGATCTCATCTCATTCCAGAGTCTTCACTGCCACATTTTCTAATCCCATCTGTCTTTTTTTTTTTTTTTTTTTAAATGAATCCTATTATTGAGAACCTTTGATTGAGCCCGGAGGCTTCAGTCCCCTCCCAGCCAGGATGTTTGTCACATTTTTATTTTGCCGTGCCTGCCGCAGTGAATTTGGAAGTCTTCTGCGAAGTGATGAGGTGAAGTCGCCCACTCACTTAGTGCCAAGCTTGGCTGGAGAGTTTCGCTGAAAAAGAAACGTGATTTTTTAGTACCAGCGATTCCCCTTTCCGTTTCAGAAATGATGAAGCTTTTCTTTTTTTTTTTTTTTCTCCAGAAGAACTGAATCTTCAGTAACTTTTCATGTATTAATCTGGCTTCCTTCGAAATTTCTATTTTAAACAAAAAGACTGTTTCTCCACAGTGTTTTCACCTCATGCCAGTTCATGACAAGGCTGACATTTCTAGAAAGCCAAGTGTTAGCATCTCCTTGTACAACCCCTCAGGTGCTTGCAGGGTGTGGTAACACGCAGTTACAGGAAGGTTATGTTTTATTATCCTAAATATCCTGATACATATTATCCTAGAGAGCCTATATTTTATCCTATGTGTTCCATATATTATACACAGAAGTAAGGTATGGTTGAAACACATGTCTATTACATCAAACCCACTGCATATCATTAGACCACTACAGATTTACTTTTTCATATTGATGATGATGATGATGATGTAATAATATTAATAATGATGTTTGGCATTTGTTAAATGCTTGCCAAGAGCTAGGAAGCCTGATACATATTCTCGTTTAATGTCTACAACTGCCCAACGAGACTATTATTTTTGCCGTCTTATAGGTGAGAAAACTAAGACATAAAGAGATCGAGTTACTTGCTGAAGATGAAAATAACTAGTTCACGGCAGACATTGTATTTAATCCCTAACTTGACTCCAAAGCCAATGTACTTAACCACTAAATTCTACTGTATTCTTTACCTGCACGGCCATTCCCCCTACTTTGAACCTGGGAGAACCTGACCCATAATCTCTTCGACTTGGACTTGGCCTCCACCGACATTTCTATAGTAGACAAATGTGGGGCATTTGCTCATCAGGTAGTTGTCACTATTACACCCATGTCTCTGAGAATTGCACCCAGCCACCGAGGATGATTCTAAGAAGCCACGTTTGTTCTACTTTGTAGCCACATTTAATTGAACCAAGATGGACACCCAATAAAAATTGCTGCCTCCCGGAAACAGAAATTGGGTCTTGGACTGGGGCCAGGGAAAGGTGTTAACTCTGGGGTGGCTCTCTGGGCCAGTGGGGTGAAGTTGAGGGGAAGGCAGTGGAAATAAGTGGAACCATTGGTCTGGAAAGGGCCTGAGGCCCGAATGTAAATCAAGGGCGAAGAGTCCTAGCTGGAGGAGGGGGCAGGTGCTCTCACCTCGGCACACACTTGGCAGGTCTGTGGTTGTGTGCACACTCCGGTGAGGGCCAGTGGGAGAAAGGGCTGCTTGGGTGTGAGGGTCGTGTTGGGTCAGTGAGGGGTGTGTGTGTGGGGGGGGGAGTGGATTGAGAAAGACAGCGAGTAAAGAGGCAGAGACAAGGGAGGAAAGAGTATTGCCCGGCTTAACGGTTTCCATGTCTTCCCTGTCTCTCTCAGGCCCGGAGTCACTCCTGTCTTGTGGTCAATGTGATATCTCAGTTTGCATCTGATAAATTTCCTTTTTGCTTAAGTTTAAGTAGATTTTTGCCATTTTCAGTTAAAAAGTATGCTGTCTAAAAGACGTGTCTATACATATGATACCTCTACATTGATTACATTTTAGATAACGTAGTATTTAAAGTAATAACTAGTGCAATAGAAAGCAAGACCTAAAATTCTGTTAACAGACTGAAATTATGTTAACAGACCATAGGCAATAAAACTCACGAGGTGAGATTTAACAGGACTAAATAAAAACATCTACCTTTACATTAAAAAAAATTAATTAAGTACAGAATTGGGTGACTTGGTTTAACAGCAATTTATTAAAAAGAAATCTGGGGTTTGGTTAACCACATGCTTCATAAGAAGCAATATTAAAGGCCAGAGGTGCAAGATACAAATGTACCTTGTTTCAAAGACCTGGTAATAAATTGAAATTAAGACCCCTTTGGGGCATCCAGGAGCCAATCAGGGTTACCTGGATTTAATCTCAAAGTGTCCAGGCTGGATTAGGCTTTTTCTAAAAAAGACCAAATTTAATCAATCAGAGCATATTATATTATGTCTAACAAATAAGCCTGAAGCACATAACTAAATGGGCTAATGGAAGGAAGCACCCCCAGAGAAAAACAATTCTTAAGAAATCATTTTTATCTGTTTGAAATATATTTTAAAATAATAAAATAATATGTGCTTTTTATAACAAATTCAAAAATTGTAGATGGGCATACAGAAAAGGTGAAAAGCACTTCCCCAATTCTAGTCTCACTTCCTAAAAGCAATCATTGTTTACAGATTAGCGAGTATTTTTCCAGATTTTTTTCATATATGTAATTTTTAAAAAATAGAATCATACTACACTTACACACCCATACACCCATGCATGCATACACTCATTCAAGTGTGAACATATATAGTTCCCGTTCTTCAAATAAATGAGTAGAGTCCACTGCACTGTAAGAATTTATCCACTTCTTTCTTGATAGACCTATAGCTTGTTTCCATTTTTTAAAAGTAGAAACGATGATGCAAAGCACATCCTTATATATGTATCTTTATAGGTCTTTTAATATTTTTGTAGGCTACATTTCAAGCTGTGGGAGTGCAGGTCACAGCATATAGCTGTTTAAAATTTTGAGGGATTTTTTCCACTTTGCCTTCCAAAAATTCAGCATCAGTTGACATTTTCACGACAGGACATGAGGGGCTTATTCCCCATACCCGTGATAATTCTTGATATTATTAATCTTTAACTATTTTGCCAACGTGATCCTGCTTGGCTTTTGTGCTAAGTCCAGAGTCTCCATCATATGAGATAGTTAGAGTCCTCCTAGCCCAGGTACCTTACACTCTGTGGAAGGTGAGTGGCTGAGTCCTCATTTTGGAATAAAAACTCTGTAATCTGTATGCAACAGTAAGCATACACCACACCTAGGAGTACTGGTAGCAACCACTGTCCAGAACCAGGCTAAGCCTCAGTGAGGGAGAGTCTGTCCAGGTCAGGGGTCTCCAAGGTTCCGGAAGTCACTGCAGAGAGTTCTATATTGTTGGCACGTGGAGGCCCACTTATGTCCATTTAAAAATTTTGCTTGTACACTTACGTCAAAGGCAGTCAGCTAAGGTCAATGGAAGCCTTTATTTCTATATTGGGTGTTCTGCAAAATGCTTGGTTACCTGTTTAGCTAATGGGAAGAGCTGAGTGGTGCTACCTCTGTGTTTCTCTCTCCAATCTGAGCGCTCTCTGGAGACCCACCCTCACAGAGGTGCTAGAAGAAGCCCTCTCCGAGGTACTTCTATTTAGGCTGAAACCTGAGCAATGCTTCTTAGACTTTAAACTACTTGGGAATCTCTAGGGGTCTTGTTAATGTGCAGATTCTGATTCCACAGGTCTGGGTTTGGGGCCTGAGGACCGAGTTTCTACGGAGCCCCTGTGAAGCCCTCCTTGCTGGCCCCAGAGAGAGACCAGAGAGTTCACGTAAAGGGAGCAGACATTACTGACCCAGATGCATTCCAATTACGAGACGCTCAGGTCCCTCACCAGACTATTTAAATATGATTCTCTAGGGCTCAGTCACAGGTACTTAAAAAATATCTCCGGTGATTATGTTATGCAACTGGGGCTTGGATGGAGTGAGGTGGTTCTCAAATTGTCCCCAGAATGCAGTATTAGCAGCACCTATTAGACATGCCAATTCTACTTAATCAGAAACTCTGGGGTAGACCAGCAACCTGTGTTTGGCAAAGCTCTCCAGGGCTCCTGATCGTCACTAAGGTTTGAGGACCACTGATGAACAGAGAGAGTTCTTGACAAAGTCGTCCTGCAGGAGTCGAATCTGTGGTTCCTAACCCTGGCTGTACATCAGACCTGCTAAGCAGCTCGATAAACATCCGCGGACCTGGAGCCCACCCCTGTTCTTTCTGATTCCAAAGATCTGAAGTGGTTTCCAGGAGTGGAACAGGGCTTTGAAACCCCCCAGGGGATGTGGATTTAGTGGCTGAGCAGAGGGGCCGCAGCCTGTCAATGTGAATGGCGGCCTGTGGCCTCCTGCCTAGCACTGTGCAGTGTTCATCCCTTCATTCCACAGTTATCGAACCCATAATGTGCCAGACCCGTAATGTGCCAGACAATTTACTGTCGAATACTGATTACGTCCCAGGCACTTTATTCATCAGCCCGACCACAACCCAGCTTGGTGGGCCTACTACCGTTTTACAGAAGAGAGCCCCTAATTTGGGTCGGTCGTGACTCCCAAACCTGGGCTCCCCACCATGCCACAGTGCCAGTCTTGGTAGACTTGGGGGCCACCAGGCTGTGGGCCTCTGAGAAGCCTCCGTGTTTAATCTTCAGTGGCTTATTTTGTGAACTTAGAGCTACGCTTGTGATTTCAGCAGGTGTCACATTCGCCTTTCAGTTCCTCTGAGACAGAGAGATGGTTTCAATCTTTAACTTATGCAAAGTAATGTTCTTTGTGGGCGAAAGTGGAGTGTGGTGGTTACCCAGTTAAATTTTAATTTAAGAAAAATAACAGAATTTTTCTGATATAACTATGTCCCAAATATCGCATGAGTATTCTTATACTAAAAATTATTTGTTGTTTACTGAAATTCAGATTTAATTGGTGTCCTGTATCTTATGCTAAATCAGGCAAGC